ACAGGGCACCCATGGCCAGCAGAAGCAACATCTCCAAGCCTATCGCCACACATCCTGTGCAAACATTTGGACTAGTGCTACATCTGGACAGTGTCAAGCCATAATATAATTAAAAGTCATTATAAATGTATATTTGCCAGCCTTCACCTGGAATACTGTTTACTTTCTTCCAGCCAGATCCTCGGGCAGGTAAGAATGGCACTACCCACCATCAGCTAAGTGTCTGGCCTTTGGGACCCCCCCGAGCTAAAACCAACCTTCACTAAAATCCAAAGGTTCTCCGAGAGAGCAAAGACATCCTATAGCGCAGAAGCACAGCATGTCAAAGACGTTGTTTTGCATAGAGATTAGGAACCTTGGTCTTTTCTCACTGTTTTTTAATATATACGTCTATGCATAAGACCGATGTCACTCTACAGATTTCAGCACAGTGCTTTCAATTTATAACAGTCCAGAGAGAGAATTAGATTTAGCTAATCTGAAGATTAATTAGCATCTGTGCTTATTACACACAAGACCAACTGGGTTTATTCTTTATCTGTGCCTGCAGAGTGATCCTGCGATTAGTTAAGAGCAAGCTTTAAAGCTCTCCTCTCTGAAGCTGACAGCTGAGGGGCTGTTATTTAAGTTCCCATTTAAGCCTGGATAGTCCAGGTCAAGCTGCTGAGTCTGTGCTTTGTCACTCCCTAAAAGAAACGCTCTTAAGTAGCAGCTGGAGTCTCTTCCAGCAGAGCCCTTGGCTGCAAGGCCAGAATCCTCCTAGCGATCTCCGCAGCAGGCTGGCCGGGGCTTTTACAAAACCAAGACACAGCGTCAAGCAGCTTGTGTGTCACACGTGTGGCAGTTTAAGCTGCTGTGCCCAACCAGAGCATTTGCACAGCAGTGTGTCCCCTCCAGCACGCTCCGAGCGGCGCAGGGTCGGAGGTCAGGAATCTCCCACCCCGCGCTCAGACAACTTCATTTACAAACGCCCTGATTTAAGTTGACAAGTTTCCAATAGGTGGGTAGAAGAGACACAAAAATACAATTCTCAGCAGAAGGTAAAGTAACAGTTCCTGAGCTGCAGGAGGGCCCCAGGGATGGGGCAGGGACAGAGGAGGGGGACCTCCCACAGGGCAGCTGCGGTCCGTGTCCTGAGGAACACCACCCTGATGCCACCACGGCCTGGAAAACCCTGCGGTGGGTGTACAGGACCCGCCGGTGATCCTCACTGCTACAAGCCCAGTAAAGCAGCAGCAGAAACAGCCTCTCTGGGGGCGCAGGGAGAGCAGGGTTTCTCTATGAGTTCTGCAAATGTCAAACTACAGACGAGTTTCCTCACCACATCCAGCCCCTTTTGCTAGGTCACGGCATGAGTGCCAAAAAGACTATTCTTTATATCTACGGAGTTCTCTTAAACTCATTTCTCCCTTTACAGCAGAAGGCTACAGGCCTATCCCCACCCACCAAGTGGCTTCTCTTTGTTTTGTTTCTATTATTTCTAGCACACCATGCATTTTGCTATTGCCTCCTCCTTCATTCAGTCTGGATTTTCAGTAATGGCCCCACAGTCCTTGGAGTGGTTCCACCAAGCTGACGGGCATCTCCTGTTTTACCAGCAAATCCCGTACGACGGGCAAAGGCAGCGCAAGAGGAGACAAAATGCTTCCTGGCTTGGCTTTCCTGCGAGTCTGAAAGGGGATATGTCTGCTTACGCTGCTCCTTCCACTGTGAAGGGCTTCAGACGCATTTCTAAGTACTCCCAAGACCCACGCCAACGAAGGAGTGAACTCCAGCGCGGTGCAGAAGCCGTGCTATTTCTGGTCTGTATGAACAAGGAAACCAGTACGTGAAGCTGCCGTGCTCGGTGCAGAGCGGCTGGCAGGGCACTACTCCCGGCACACCAGCCTCGCTGTCAGTGAGGGAAGACGGGCACCGGTGAATTCTGCACCCATCATACGGGACCGAGGCCGTATTTTCCCCCATGCCCCTGATACCTCCCCCCAAGGCACCAAATTTGAGTGAATTGGGGCACCAGAGCGCCCAACCCTGCAGCTGCCTCCACACTGTCACCCCTGGTGAAACCACCAGACCCATCCAGCCCAGCTTATCTTGCAAGATCTAACAGCAAGAGCAAACACGAGCAGCTTTCCAACTCCAAGCTCAAGTTTCTTGCCAATAAGAACTGTTAAAAAAACAACTTATTTTGCTGTTTCTTTTATGGCAATTATTCACAGGGCTTTTCCTAAGCATCATATAACTTCCATCCCCCTGCGATTTACATTTCAAATTTAAGATGGTATTACAGCTTGGTACTCATTTTACATCTCCATCAGGTAGGGAGAGGAGCGAAGACTTTATTAGCACAGTTACCAGAAGTGCTGGCCAAGAAGGCATCCCGTTCTCCTAAGTTTTCAGACTCGCTCTCTCCGCTGGCTGCTGTTTTGCAGTGACAGCTCCCACAGAAGGAGCTCCCCAGACACGAGGCTTCCCCTGAGCGCTCACTACGTTGCTGCCCTCAAGCTTTTTGGGACAATGGCTAATTTTCATCAACTGCTTCAGGATTTGATTTGATTCCAGCACAGTGGCTTATAACACCAGAAGGCTCTCCAGTTTGGGAGGGTTAAAGATGATTTTATGCTCGGTGGAGAACGTTCAGCTTGTAGGACAGACGTATTACAGTGATGGGGCCCCTCTCTGCAGCCGAGACAAGTTCAAAAAGCTGTTTGAGCTCAGATGCCTCTCATGGTGATTTACATTGGCCCTGTACGTTTTCCTTCACACAATTTCAACACAGCTAGCCTCAGTGTACAATAAAGGGTTTAACAACCTTAGCACAGCCTGTTAAGGGGTTTAACAACCAACCACACAAACACCCAAGGAAATAATTCCAGCTTGTTTCTTGGTGCAGCATTGGTGCTTTCTGGGTTTATTCTCTTCTACAGCAAGGGTGGTGGTTTTGTTTTTTCCCCACACCTAATCTTCATAAATCTATAGTGCAGACTCACACCTTGATCTGAAATAGGGTGAAGTCACACTGCTGGTGCTGGATTAAGAGGTTTGGTATTTAATAGATTCAAATCTGTGTCCTACTTCTAATGGGCTCAATGAAGAAACTGATTCTCAGTCCCTTTACATCCATTCTTGGTCTTCATATAGCTCATTTTGCTCACACCTACTTTCAGCCTCACACATATTGCAAAGTAAAGTGCTACATCTCATTTTTCTATGGCAGAACTTTTCTTCCAGTGCAGTTTTGTGAAAGCTAGTAGACCTTCTAGAAGTTTAGCATATTTCAGATCTTGGGAAACAGTCCATTCATATCAGGTCAGCTGCATTAATTCCTGCACAGGAGATCAAATTGAAACGAGCAGTGTTTTGTCAGAGTGGGAAACGGGAGGCCGGTCTTGAGTATGGCAAGAAACCACAGTACTCTGTCTGCTGCGAGCTGAGCTGCACAGCATGTCAGTCGAACTGGATCTCCCGCAACTGCTTTTAAAGCTGTTCCATTTTTCAGCTAGTGCCTCTAGAAAAATGATGCTTTAAAGTATGGAGAATAACATCAGTTATGTATTTATTTGGAAGGACAAGCTTGTAGTCTAAATAAACCCTCATTGCCAAGATGACTTTTATTAATATGTTTAATGGAAACCTTCCTTTTTTGGCTTTTTTTTAGCTTAAAATTCTTTGTCCAATTCAGTATTTTGCTGCAATAGTGAAAAACGTTTACTGTATCACTGGACTCTGAAAGTCAGATGCACGTTAATAGAAAAGGCCATAGCAGAGGGGAGACATTACCCAATATGGAAGGAAAATGTAACATGTTAGGAGCAGTTTTCAATCTCAGTGCAAGTAATGGCTAGAAGAATCTTGCCTTAAAAACACTGACACCATTTTTTTACCAGCTTTAAATCCTCTGCTGCAAGTTACCCTTCACAATTTGTAACTGTACGTAATTTTCAGTCACCATATTTTATAAGCATTTGTTCAGCAACCACAATGGCCGCTCCAGACAGCGCTGGGAGAATATAAATCTAAAAGGGTGTTAGGGAATCTCAATCGTTTCCCTATGGAAATGTATATTTATGCCCAGAGACATGCATGGTGTGCTCAAAGTTCAGAGTGATTACAGCCCTGGGAGCACTATCACCATGTTCACAGCTTTGCATTAGACTGAGCCACCACCTACTGTCACTTGAGGTCTTTCCACTTGCGTTGGTCTGGAAGCCTAGGTGGAAATACTCACTAACTCGTGGTAAAACAGTTTCTGATCTCGAGTACCTTATTGACTCACAGTCATCCAGGGACATATCATGCCCAATCTTTCAGGCTGCCAAGAATCCAAAGTTGAAATCACCGGCTCCTACAGCTAATGGAAAATTTACTTATCTTGGTGGTTCAGCACAGCTTTTGCTGTGGAGGGAGGGAGATGGTGAAGAGGAGATAACCCACCCCTCCTCCTCCCTGTTAGATGGATACTTGTGCTCAGCAGGGCTGGCAGGAGTACGCAAAGGGTCCCACCAGGGTCTTTCACAGGGCTGTACTAAAACACGCCACGATGCAACTGAGCATCACAGCACTTCTCCGGTAGTTTGAAAAAGCACTGCAGCAGACTTGAAGAAGCCCACAGGAGCAGTATTGTGAACAAGGAACAGATAACCCTGGCTGGTGCAGTCATTTTCCCCCCTCTAGTTGAGGCTGAATCTTTCCCCCCCCCCACTCTAGTTGAGACTGAATCTGTCCCCTGAAAGCTCCCCAAACTCAGAGCAGAGCCGGGACACCCCTGCCAGCCCGTCCCGCTGCTGCGGAGCACAGCACTTACGTAGTGCCCTCCCGCGGGCGTGCTCTCCAGGGCCCCGTTGGTGGACTCGGGGGGTTTGCCGGCAGCGATGCTCTTGTCCTGCGCCTTCCCCTCCTCCTTCCCGCTGCCGCCCTGCCCCGGCAGCGCCACCTCCCCAACGCCCAGCGCTTCGGCTTTGTACTTCTTCACAAAGTCTTCCATCAGCTTCAGCTCGCCCTCCGCGAGGCCGCAGCACTGGGATGGGTCCTGGTCGTACAGTGGGAGTTGTCTCATCAGCTGCCGCCGGCGATAGTATGCCCCATCCGTCCCCGCCACCGGCTGCATCTCCTTGGGGATCAGCTCCATGTACTGCATGGCCTGGGATGGAGAGAGGACCGACAGTTACTCCGAGCTGCCTTCGGCAGGGAAGCACGAGCTTTCTTTGTGCAGGTGCTTCGCAAACAAATACTCTGCTTGCGTTATGGAGCAGCGGCAGAAAAGGCACCTTCTCCTCCCTTCCCCTTTGAGTCGTTCTAACCTATGCTTCAGAAATAAAAGGCTGAACTTACTCAGATGCAAGTAGCAGCCAGGCTATTGTTAATCACTTCATTCTCAGAAGACAGGTTGGGTAGTTTTGAGGATTTTTGTTTTCCTTTAAAAAATATACCAGACTCCCCAGGAAGCAAAGCAGCAAAGACTTGCTTCACTAGTTTGCACCCAGATCCCAACACACCCTCCCTCGCCAGCACTAGCATGCCACTATGCCAGGTAATTTCACAACAAGGCTGCTGAAAAGACCAGAAACCCATAAACATCAAAACCTGAGACCAGCCAGCTTCCCACTGCCTCGTGCCAGGACAGGGAGAGCTCCGGGGAGCCGCTCAGAGGCTGCAGCAAGAGCACCCCATAGCCCTCACAGGCTGCATGCAGCCTAATTTACAGAAAAAAACCCTTTTATAAATTAAAAAGTAATCTTAATACAAGAAAAAGTAGTCAGATAGCAGTTGAGTCTGTATGTAACACTGACAGCCACCCACTCTACCCGACTATTGATTTTGCAGTAAAGGGAAGGTGTTTTGTCACTGATGCCCTGCAACATGGAAAGTAAATGCCAAGAAACTATCCAAAGTAAAGTCTCCTACTCAGTGGCCACTATCTTAAAAGCAGATTAAATCATGATCTTGCAAGAGGTCTGACCCACGCTGAATTAGCATTTGCAGGACAGTGGGGTCTGTACAGTTAACTTCTTCTGGCCTGGTGCTAAGGGGAAGGGAGTTTCCCACTCAAGGCATTTTTCCTATTGTAGTGTGAAGAGCTAAGGGGCAGCCAGTTGGCTCTCTGCCATTCTGTTTTAAAGACCAGCATCCAGCTGTATTAGATTTGTTTCTTACTTGGTCAGCATTTGAAAACTGAATTTTAAAAAAATCAGAGAAGTGATTAACTGTTTACTGTACATAGTCTGGTTCAGTATGGCCTTTTAAATACAGAAAGGTTTGCACAACACTGAACAACTCATCATATCTGTAAAAACTTCAAAGTCATCTTGCACCTCAGCTACTTTCAGCCAGATAGCAGCATTGCAGGGCAAGATTCCTGCCTGAATATTTGCAACAGCAATAGCTAAGTGATTTAATGGAGGCAGGGCTTCTTCCCCGTTTCTTGTGCAGCAATGTTAACATGCACTCCATTATATTAGACATCAACACTCAGTATATTGTGCCTCTGCAACGGCAAGACTGATATCCAGAAGTTTACTGGGGGAGGGCTGTCGCCCCATGGGAGAAGGTGCTGCTCAGGAGTAGTGGTTAGAGAGCTGCAGGATGCTGCAGAAGTGATCTGGTGCACAGATGGCTTTCACAGAAGTAAGAAATCCTAATAGGAACTACAGAAGCAAAAGACAAGAACTCCCTGACAGCTCCTCCCAGGCCTCACACAGGCATTGCCCCACAAAATAAGGATACTGTCAGTGGTATCTGACAACTGCAGAGAGCAGCAACCAAAGCCTCGATGCTGTACGGCCATGAACATTAAGACAGCGTATGCTATGCAGTCTGTGCTGGCTTGGTTCAGCCACTGCAAAAGCACTAGCAGAGTAGTAACATGGTAGGATCTTAATGGAAGAAATTCTTAATCCACTACAAACATGCCAAGACTAATGAACACTTATACCAGAGCTACAATAGCACCGTGCCAGCACGTGTATCTGAAGCATCTTGTTCCACTCCAGCGCCAGACTCTCCATTGCCAATACAAAATGTCTGTGCTGAAAGTGAGAGAAAAGCAAAGTCTCAAGGCTTTAAGAGTACAGCTGGACTGCTCAGTGGCAGGTTTCAATATCTGCCCAGACGTGTGGTGGGATTTCACTCCCTGATTAAGGGAATGCTTAAAGTTATAATTGCAGATGTCATAAAATGTGTCCAGAGAATAGATCAGGGAAAAAAAGTTGTTGGCATCAGGCTGAATTAACATGAAGGATAAAGCGTTGTTTCTTCTGCTGCTACCATTAATTATTACAGTCAAATGCTTTACTATGTTGCCTTAGCACAGATAATTTTGAGAAAAAGCATTTTAGGTTTTCACTGTTAACTACTGGATTTTGGAGATATTTTGTAATCTGTCCTTTTCACTTTCCCCAAGGACCCTGAATATCTACTTCATAACTTCTCCAGGCACAGCTTAATGAAAACACGCTCTGAACTTCCTCCTACTATTGGACCATCCACTTCAGGACAACAATATTAAAAACAATCCCAAGTTTCCAGCCTGCCTTCAGAAGGAAATCATTGGAGCGAGCCAGTTATGCACTAAAAGCTTTTTGGCCCAAATCCCTTTTCAACTATCCTGAGAATGGCTCACACCTAGCATTTCTCCTAAGAGTTTGTCAAGTTGACCTTCGAGCCAAAATTCATCAAGGTTGTCTTCAAAGCCCCCGCACATTGTTTACTTGAACCAAGGTATCTTCCAGTCTGTTCAGGCACTATGAGGAGTTCAAAAGCTTTCATGAAGCACATGCTTCTGAGCTGCCCCCTCACCAGCACTGCAGGGATGGAGTTCACAGGCATGGGTGGGGGAGCTGCTGGGCTCCCCAGTGCCCCCGCTGCACGGGGCTGCATTTGGGATCACCCCAAACACACACTCGCAAGGGGGTACGGTTGGGGTTCAGCCCCATAGAAGAAGAAAGCAGCCCAGGAGCCGCGGAGTTTGGGCACCCTTCACAGCAAGGAGCTGACCCTGCCCCAAGGTGCCGGCAGCACCGTGCTGCAGCCAGCTTGCGGAGCAGTGAAACCCAGGTTTCTGATAAATCCCGGGCTGGGCAGCACGCTTAATGAATCAGGCTGGGCGGGAAGAGTGCCAGCATTGTTCTCCCCATCCCTCGCAAGCTCCCAGACTCCCCCTGGGACCTGCGGAAGGCAAACAGTGGTTAAACAAACATTCCTGCGGGGCCAGCTCCTACCAAAGAAAAGGAGGAAGAGGCAGCTGTGAGCAGCAGCTCTATGTTTAAACAGCCAGGCAGTCGGATACATGGGGGTCTCGGTCCCTCATTAAAGCTCAGTGGTCTGCTCCAATTAGCACCACAGGCCCCAGCTGCATTCCCAGTACAGACTGCATGCCACCCCCAGTCAGCCTTTCCAAGGGGGTGATGGCAACTGAGTTTTAAGAAGAAATAATCAGTCTGCCTCTCGGTGTGCAGCTGCAATTTCACATTTGTTTCCCCAATTCTTTAAAAAATCTGGTTGCAATTTTCAGCAGCTTTAAAGTATTTGTTTAATTTGAAGAGCAAAAGCTGTCCACTAATGACAGTGTAACATGTAATGTTTTTAGTACAACACCACAGTTAAAAGCCAGTTAAATGCTTTCCCTCAAGAAGTGCTCTGCTGGCTAACGCTTCCACACACCGAAAACCACTTCCATTCGTTCCCACATGGCAGTGTTGCTCGCCCGGACAGAAACCAGGCGCAGGAGGGAAGGAGGGGCTGGGGGATTGTTTTCAGATCCAGCCCTCAGCATGGGACCACACTCACCTCCCCTTTTTACCCCAAGTTCTCTTTACAAAACCTAAACAAATATTTTTATTTGGACCAGACTGTTTAGCTGTAAGCAAAAAAAATCCCAGCTCCAGTGCTGAATCTGGGAGGGTTCCTCTGGCAGCAGCGATGGGCAGAGTTCATGCCCACGCTGGCAGGAGCTGCGGACAGGGTGCTCCCAGCCGCAGAGCTCACCTTAGCTCTCCTCCAGGCTAGCACACCTTGGCACGATGAGCTTTCCCACTCCTGTTCCCTGGGGGAGCAAGCTCCACAAGTCTGCTGGGGACAGGGACGGGCTGCTGCTGCGTTTCGGCAGAGGTGGTGGGAGGGTGCCCGGGCACAGGGGCTCTGAGCCCACTGCTCTGCTCCGTTGCCCTGGGCTGCTGCTGGAGGATGTTTTCTACTGAAGCAATGCCCCTCTGCAAGTGGGAGATGGGAACCCCGAGGCACAGCAGCCTGACTGCCCACCCAGCATCGACTGCCCACCACAAGGAGAATTTAAACCCCCTTTCCCCCTTCCTCCACTTATTCAGCAAATCTGAGCCAAAGTTAAAGACAACAGCATTACAAAGCAGTTAAGCCACGAAGTAAGCACTGTTAACACACTTGGCATTCCTACAGATGCTTGTCTGGGGCAGAGGTGATGCAGCATTCAACAGAAAACAAGGCTGAGTTCCGGGGAGGTTTAGGGCCATTCTGTGATTTAGAGGCACAAGTGAGCACTAGTTGCACTCCTGGTTAATAAACCTGAGATGCCAGGCCTATTTTAAGTCCCAGATTTTAATGACTACCTCAGCAAGCAAAGAAAATAATTACTATATTAAAGACGACAGTTATTCTGCCATTATCATTAAAGCCCATTTCCGTAACAGAGTAATTTACAAACACAGCACTGGATTTAGATGCAGCATTACTTCTTTCTACATTGATTTAATTTCTATGCTTTTGAGACAGACTGAAGCATAGTTTCCTGAAGTGTTTGCTGAAAAGACCTCCAGGTTAGTGGAAGTGTCCCAGCTAGCTACCTCCACCTGTGCTGGCTGGTTTTGGGACAGACTCACACCCAGGTTTGTAAGAGATCAGACTCAACAAGCAAGGCAGGACCTCCCTCTCCAACAGGGATGTCAGAGGCCAGGGTGACTCCTCCTGCCCAAATAAACCACCCAAATAGCTTGTCTCCACTGCTTCTCCCAGAAGCCCAGTCCAGACCCACATTGTTTTAGAAGCATGGAGACAGGTCTCTGGAGTTAACTCTTGTCCTTGTGCGTGTCCCACAGCTTGCACAGCTTTCTGCCTCCTTGGTGCCCTCCCGGGGGTGCTTAGGGAGAGGATCAAATCCCAGCCCAGACACCCCAAGAAGGCCTGGAATATTTGCTCCCACATCCAGCCTGGGGTTTTGGAGCATGCAAACGCCTGCGTGGGCTACACAGGCATTGTACAACTGGCAGGACAGCAGAGATGGGATCTCTCCTCAGCAATGTTTTTATTGGACATGAGCTTTACCAAAGTAGTGAGCTTTCTAGTTGTAAAACCCATTAAGACTTCTTCTGGAAATGTAAACAAACCTATAAAAACCCAAAGGCAATCCACTCCCCTCTCCTACCTACTCTGGTTATTTCCATAGTTTTCCAAAATACAAAGTAGTTATGTACATTTTTGCTCTGCGAGGCAAACCATATGTTTTACTATTTCTTCCTCAATACCTTTATTCCAAGCCGAGTTATGTTCTCCATTAAGCGACACAACTACCAGCCAAATGCGCTGCGGATTGTCTTACCAGCTTCTGGGTGAGCCCCGGGGGAGCCCACTCGTACGTGATGGTGTCGAAGGTGGGGTCTTTCCGAGAGACGATGGGGTTGGTGATGATCATGCGGTTCCTTTTGTAAATGCGAACGCCGTCACCTCCTTTCACCCGGGCAGTGAGCGTGGCATACTTCGAGTCCGACAGCAGGCGCCCAATTTTCCGATCGTCCTCCACATCCGAGCTCGGGCTGTGGTCCTCCTGGCTGCATTTGCATGACTTGCAGATTTTCCTGTGGGTGACAGCGAGATAATCCTTTCGATGCGAGCTGGGCCACGGGAGGCACGCGATCATGCAATGGCTCAGCCACCGAGCGTCAGCCTCTTCCAAAGGTTAAATGCAGACTGGGGTTACGGCATAAAACAAAAGGCTCCTGCGGCCTGAGCCGCGCGTGGGAATTCAGCACGATTCATCCCAGAGGGGTCGGCAGCAACACAGAGCAGAAAGCTACAAACCCCCAAGTGCTGTCCCCAAGCGAAAGCAGCCACAGCAGCACTGCTAGACTGCTGCCTCCCACCCGCCGCGGGGAGCTGCCACGTTCCTTGAACTTTGAAAACCCCTTCAAGCATCGCTAGGTCTCCCACCCTCACCAGTCTCCAACAGCTCAGCACTAGACTCGCCTCTTACGAAGCTTTACATGCCGTTAAAAGTGACTGCTAAAAGAGGAATTGATACTTAAGTATCTACCATTATAATACCTATAAGTCATAAACCTATAAGGTTTATAGACTGGCCAGCTTTTCCATCAAATGCTAATAGCAAAAGGACAGAGTAACTCTGATGCAA